CAGGTTGTTAATGAGTCTTCCTCCAAACTTGATGTCCTGTTCTTCTTCATATAGTCCAGCTTCTCGGATTATTTGCTCAGCACTTATATTGAATAGGTATGGTGAAAAGATACAACCCTGACACACACCTTTCCTGATTTTAAACCACGCAGTATTGCCTTGTTCTGTTTAAATGACTGCTTCTTGATCTATGTACAGATTTCGCATGAGGCCAATTAAGTGTTTTGGAATTCCCATTCTTCACACTGTTATCTATAATTTGTTATGTTAAAAAGCAAAAACGTCACTTTGAGGACTAAGGTTAGCCTGATCCAAGCCATGGTATTTTCAATTACCTCATATGCATGGGAAAGCTGGAAAATGAATAAGAAAGACCAAAGAATTGACGCATTTGAATTATGGTGTTGGCAAAGAATACTGAATATACCATGGACTGCCAGAAGAATGAAAAAAATCTGTCTTGGAAGAAGTACAACAAAAATGCTCCTCAGAAGAGAGGATGATGAGACTTCATCTCACATACTTTGGACATGTTATCAAGAGGGACCAGTCCGTGGTCTTTTTCATTCACCCTCTACTTTACCAAGGACATCATGCTTGGTAAGGTAGAGGGTCAGTGAAAAAGAGGAAGACTCTCAATGAGATGGATTGACACAGTGGCTACAACAATGGGCTCAAACATAGCAACAATTGTGAGGATGGCACAGGACCTGGCAGTGTTTCATCCTGTTGCACATAGGTTGCTATGAGTCAGAAACGACTTGACAGCACCTGACAACAACAAGAAGTACTTGCCTTATAGTGTCGTTGTAAGGATTACCTGAGATGATGCCTCTAGAGGCTCCAGTATATATTAAGAGCTCAATAAATGTTTGCAATAGTTATATTATTTTTAAAATCGGAATTTAGGAACTTAAGAAATCTAGCCAGCCTCCCTAAGCTATTTAGGGAAGCTGGTTTCCTATTGGTTAGTTCATTGGAAGTACTCAGTTGGGCACCTACTATGTGTTAGACAACAGAGAGAGGGCTGGGGATGAAACTTTAATTTTTTCCCAGGAATGTGTATTCACGTTGGGAGAGAAACTAAGATCCATGAAGTTCTTAAAGAACATGTAAGTAGTAAACTGTAATACTGACAGTAAGTGCCATTGGGGTTTAGAGAGGTAAGAGAGCAGACAGGCTGGAAGGGCCAGACAAGACCTCAGAGGGGAGGCAACACGGGAGGCTGGCCCTTGAAAAGAAAGATGAGTTAACCTCAGCAGAGGAGAGAGGAGACAGAAACAGGCAAGGCTGGGGAAGGGGAGGGAGACCTGTGTGAGCACAAGCAGGCTGAAAGCCCAGGCAGGTCTGGGCATGGTGAGTGGTCTGTGAACTGAACCAAGAACGAGACTTCTAGTACTTTTCCCACTATCAGAGTTCTCCAGGAATAACTTGCCATAGGGTCTTTTAATCCCCTGTTCCATTAATAATTACCCTTACAATGAGACCTTCTGTCACTAACAAATTTTGTGGTTTACAAGAGGGAAGAAGGAAGAAAGGAGGAGGTGTTATGTTGGAGGAACTAGACCATTGCATAAAGAGCTACAAGTGGCAACTGCTGACCTTGGCCATTTTGCATCTGTATCTGGAATTAGCACCTTGATTGTCTTTGGGGAATGTAAAAAATGGCACCAACTGTAAAAATGGTGTGGCAGCAGCGTAAGACCACCTCATCTAACTTCACAAACGGAAGGAGAGAGAATCATCAGCATCAGCCCAAAGCTGATTCCTCTGAGGCGGAGGTCAGACATACCTCCACCCTCCAACCTTTTTATCAATTCTGACACCAGCCGTCCCTCCCATGGCACTCTCTACTTCTCTGCTGGGTTCGATAATTCGTTGCAATGGCCACACAGAACTCACAGACAATACTCATGATTATGGGGTTTATTAGGGAAGTAACAGTTTACAATTCAGAATCAGGAATGACTCAGGATACAGTTCTTCAGTCAGGACAGCTTCTTCTCAGCCATGCCCGCAAGCAGGCCTCTCTCTGGCCCTCAGCCCCTCAGCCTTTGCCCTGCTTGGGCAAGTTTTCTGAAGTTCTTTAGCTCTTCCAGTAAGTGCTTGAGGGCACCCCATTCTGCCCATAAGCATCATCCGAAGGCGCTCAGCTCTCGTTCCGTGGATGGGTCAGCAAGCCTCGCTCTGCTGCCAAGTGCCCAGAAGCACCCTACTCTGCCACGAAGCCTCCTGCCCAAAGGCACTCAGCTCTCTAGCTCTGTGAGTCAGCACACCCGTGGTAGCTGCCTCACTCCATGGGCCAGGAAGCCCACTGAGCCATCTTATACCAGTCTCCTGCTTCTGCTGCTGCCATTTTTCTGCCACTGCTTCTCACCGTCTTACACCATCTCCAGTGTTAAAGCTCTCTCTCTCTGTCTTCCGGGTCTAGGAGGTTTTCAGCACAGGGTCTACAGGTTCAAAGGAAGTGCTCTGCTCCCATCTCTTCTTCTTGGTGTTAGTGAGATCTCCTCTTTCCACCTCTAGGGTGACTAATTTTAAGCCTAGTGGGATGGCAAAACTAACCAATCCTGTTGTTAGGGTTCCATACACCTTATTTGCACGGTCCGACCCCCATAAGGGTGCCATACACCTTATTTGCATTATTGGCAAACTATCCGATCCCCTTGGTGGGCCACAAGCACCTTATTTGCATTGTCCAATCCAGTAATTTGGTGGAAGTTACAAGATCATGGCTAGAAAGACCGTATAAAAGTGATCCATCTCACTGCAGGGAACCACTCCTTCACTGTTTTCTGCCCATGTGGTTTGGATGGGGATGACTATACCCCTGTGGCAGGGATGGGCACAATACCCACATTAATTCAATGAAAGGTGACCCTGAGCCTCCACTAGAACTATTGGGAAAGGAAAATGCCTGCTCTTTTAGGGTCCTATACCACTAGGATGTTAGCGTGGAGCTGCTGGCAGCCATCTTGCCATCACAGTAGGCAAGCCTGCCTGGGAATTGAGCAACACAGAGGATGCAAAGCCAAGAAATGGAGAGAGACAGATTCAGGGTGTCATTGTCTGAGCACCAGGATCGCACTATACCAAAGTCCTGGACTTTTCAGTTACATGAAACAAACATTTCCCTTTTTGGCCTCCGTGTCTTCAAACTGGGCTTCAGTCCATTGCCACTAAAAGAATACTAATTCAAGTAATCACCACCCTGTTCCCACTAGAAGATTGTTGGCTTCTTTTTAGCATGGGTATTTGCAGTCCATATCCAAAGGTGGTCTGTGTCAAGGAATAACAGTACGCATGTGCAAGTGATAGTGACATCTATAATCTCTACTAACCAGTTGCCATTCAGTCAATTCCAACTCATGGTGACCCCATTTGTGCCAGCATAGAACTGTGCTCCATAAAGTTTACAAAGGACGATTTTTCAAAGTAGATCACCAGGCCTTTCTTCTGAGGCACTTCTTGGTGGCCTTGAACTGCCAACCTTTGGTTAGCAATGGAGCACTTTTTTTTTTTTAAGTATTTAATGGTATACATATTTTAGTGATTGAATATAAGAATTAAGATGCCAATCTATGGGTATTATTCAAATATGTGAAAGCATAGGACTTGATTACCTACTTCATTCTATTCTATTCCTCATCAGTGAACAATTAATTACAGACCCTTCTGTTTGGACATACTATTTAAATAATGTATAGAAAATATGGATATTAAGAAATAGGAGTAAAAGAATTACCAAATTAGAAGATAAAAACAAAAACCAAACCAAACCCATTGCTGTCGAGTCAATTCCAACTCATAGCGACCCTACAGGACAGGGTAGAACTGCCCCATAGGGTTTCCAAGGAGCGCCTGGTGGATTTGAACTGCCGACCTTTTGGTTAGCAACCATAGCTCTTAACTACTATGCCAGCAGGTTTTACAATTAGAAGAGAAGAGGAAAAAACCTTCACTGATCAAAAAGCTCTTTTACTGATCATTGGTAAATTCTTAGAACATAAACATTTAATTTTAAATTAGTTAATAACAACTCTAAAAATCTGAACTATCTACCACCGAGCATGTGAACCATTTACACCACCCAGGGGCTCCTAGTGACAGCTATACGTATCCCTGAAGAGCACCGGTCCGTGTGCTGTGCTTGGGAGTTCAGAGATCTTAGCAGGGGACACCAAGACTGCAAAATTTGTTTCTCCTCTTTGTCCCTTGACTGCTTACAGCACAGTTCTTCCCAAAACCGTGATTTTATTCCTCTTGCTCCCAACCAAAAAAAGAAGCTCTTAGACCTGTGAAGTATATTTTGCAGGACTCTTGACTACTAGCCAAAACGTTGGCGGGTCGAACCCACCCAGAGGCACCTTGGACGACAGGCCTAGCGATCTGCTTTTGAAAGGTCACAGCCTAGAAAACCCTATGGAGCAGTTCTACTCTGCACACATGGGGTCACCATGAGGCTAAATGGGCTCGATGGCCGCTAACAATAGCAAGTCAAGAAGATGTAGGTAACGGGGTGAGGGCAAGAAGGCTCTACATATTCCTTTTTTGTTTGTTTGATTTTTCGTTCTCCTTTTTGCCTAAGAGCGAAGAATCAGCTGGCATCCTTTTATTTATTTCTCATTTCAGGCAGGGCTTTTTATGACTGAGCACTAATTCTACTGTAATGGGATTTGCCTAATGATTTCCTGGGAAACCTCTTCTTGAATCTCGGGAGACATAATTCACTTGGTAGGAATCACTTCCTCCCTCCCTGCTAGGAACCAGATCTACCCAGTTCTTTCTGGAAGCAAATTGGCCTCTGAATGAGAGAAGGAAATACAGGAATATTTCAATTTCACTCCTGCATCCATCACATAGACTCAGACCTGCCACACACCGGATCAGGTAGGAGGAAAGGAAGAAGGAGGTGGGGAGAGTTTCATACTGAACACAAGCGTGAAGCAAAGCAGCAATCTGTAGCAATCTGAGCTCCTTGGAGAAACGGAAGTACTTACCTCTCTGCTTTTGGCTCTGGGTGCTTTCTTTCTGGGGCAGCAGCCACTGCGGTAATGTCCACGCTGTCCTACCAGGGCTGCTGCAGACAGGCCCAGGCAGGAGGAAGGGAGTTCCATTCACCAGCAGAGGGAGTTTCCTTTAAGAAAAGGAGGCGATGCCCTTATCCCCCCACCCCCACCCCCAGGAGGCTGTTGGATGCACTTGACCTCGCTCTCCTGCTCCTTCTCTGGTGCGAATGGAGCTCAGGGAGCCCCAGATGGAGGGCTGAGCGCAAATCCCAGGCACCACACCTACCCTAATAGCAGGTTGGCCTCCAGCCTTGGGAAACTGGGCAGGGAGGTCGCAGAGTGAGGCTCAGGCCACCCTCTTGTGGGTGGGGGGAGTCTCTGCAAGTACAGCCGCTACTGGTGTGCCCACGGCAAGCCCAAGGACGAGCACTTGCGTATTTATTTCTCCCCCTCTCATGTGATCTTGTTTTTGGATTGGACACAGAAGCTATTTGGGGGCTGGCCAGCTGCCAGGTGAAAGGACAATTATCTCATCCAAGTTGTCTTCATGCCCTGTCTGAACAATTGCCTGGTACCTTTCCTGGTGGGAGGCAGGAGGATGGGGGTCTTCCTCCAAGCCTTACTTTCAGAATATTTAAGCAATTTGTCCATCTTCCTACTTTTTTTTTTCTCCAACCAGTTCATCCCCACTCTTTGAGGTTTCACAAAGGGCAAATGCAATGAAAAAAAAAGTCATTATGTTTCTGTTTGAGGCATGTGACTGTCTGAGGCTGGTGTTCATGTCATGTAGTCAGCACACATAGGGTCATTGCACGCACACACAATTGTATGACACAGAGACCCTGTTATCAGCCCCGGGGCGGGACCCCTGACACTGGAAGGCATGTACGAGCAATAGTGAAGGAGCCCGGCACAAACATTGAATTGAACTCGTTCTGCCTTCCCGGCCTTGCTAGCTTCCTTACTTCTAGCTTCTGGGCTTATAAAGTTAAACCACTGAAATAGCCTGATTTTTCACCTCTCATTCTCCCTCTGCAGACATGAATGGAAAGTTTTAAACCAGTCGTGCTTGATAAAATGCCAGTTCAATATCATCATCTTCGTCATCATCACGGTTATTTACTGAGCTCTTGTTAAATGCTGTTCACACCGAGCACATTTCCTGCACTGTCTCAATGAATCCTCACAATAGTCGGATGAGGAAGGTAATATTGTTACTACTTGACAGCTGCTGGGGATGCTGAAGTTCAGAAAGATTAAGTCACTTGCCAACAGAGTAAGATCGAAGCCCCATCTCTCTGACTCCAGAGTTTGAGCCCTGGGCCACTTTGCTCTACTGTCTCCTGAAGCTGTGAATTGTTGAGATTTCACTGTTGTTTTAATTTCATAAGAGGGAAAACAAAAGCCATGTGATTGATTCAGGCCCATGACTTTACCTCTTGGTTTTTTCCCCAAATTGAGTTCTTTCAGAATAAAGAGGGTAAGGTTTTCATCTGTTTACAGCCCCCGGCACAGATTCTAGGTAAAGGATGGAGCGTCTCTGGACTCCATTCTCCTGGGAGCTGGTCTACAGATAATCCACCGTGCAAACACGCACACCGGAGAGGGCTCTGCTGGGCTCCCCAGAGCGTCCAAGCTGAATGGCCCTTTCTTGCTTCTACCCTGGGAGAGAGCCAGAGATTGAGCTCAACAGCTTGTCCAACACTGCCATCTGCAGGGTATCAGGCTGCATTACTCCAGGTTGGTGGTCTTTAAGACTTTCCAAGGGGCACACCAAGGATTATTTTTAGAGAATCAATTTCCAAGTTCTGTGCTCTATAGGTACTCCTTCCTGCAAATAATTTGCCTAAGAACATGTATATGTTCATAATAATCCCTCCCCTACTTATCAAGGAAAGCATACCCCTCACCCTTCCCAAATCTTCCTAAGGTGCACTGTTCCAAACAAACTGGAAACTTCCTTTAATGATTTAATTCATCTTCCTATCATGATTAATTAAGGCATTTCTTTTTACTTTAACAACTTGTCTCTTCCATCCCTTGAATATTGAGAGAGCACTGTGAAAGCAAAATGAAGAGAATATTGGAAATAATAATAGGGGCATTTAAAGAATTATGTTACTCTTTAATTTTTAAATTCCATTATTTGCAATTTTCTGGAAGTTATGATCTTGAAACTATATGAACTTGATGAAAATTTAACATATCAGTTTAAAAATGTGGGACAGGGTAACATCGTTTTTCAAAATCATTTTGGAAGGCACGGGAGCGAGAGCAAGAATGTGTGGAGACGGTTGAATGCTGCACCCTCGGGCTGGTGATTGCTGACTGATAACACTTTGTCATCCATCCGTCTGTCCATCTATTTATCACTTATCAAACATCCACTGGGAACCAGGCATTGTTTGGGGTCGTAGACCTAAAAATGGTGAATAAAAACTGGCATGTTACCTGACAAAATTCTTAGTAATGGCTTCCTCTAGGGAATTGTGTGAGGGAGACTGTAAACCTGTTGCCGTGGAGTCGATTCCAACTCACAGCGACCCTACAGGACAGAGTAGAACTGCCCCATAGGGTTTCCAAGGAGTGCCTGGTGTATTTGAACTGCAGACCTTTTGGTTAGCAGCTGTAGCTCTTAATTACTGTACCACCAAGGCTCCAGGACAGATTAGCTTAATAAATACTGAAATAAATATAGAAATTCAACTTTGATAAGTACTACCAAGGAGGAGTATTTGGTGATTAGAGAACTTATAAAGGTATAGTGAGGTTGACCCAATTCACAGAGCGGGCAGCAGGGAAAGCAGCCCTAGAGAACTGAAATCTGTACCAAAAATCAGATGTCCAGGAACCTCTAGGAAGGGACTGTGAAAACCCAGGAAGACAGGCCATAGGAGGATCGGGGAGAAGTAGGAGGAACGTTTTAGAGGCAGTTGTTTTTAGAAATGGCCCTTACACAAATAAAATCCATATTATAAATCAGTGTTTCTCAGCCAGGGTGATTTTGCCTGAGGGGACATTTTGCAATGCTGAGGACATTTTTGGTTGTTGCAATCAGGGTTGTGCTATATTGGCATCTAATGGGTAGAGGCCAGGGATGCTGCTAAATATCCTACAGCACATAAGACAACCTCTCTCAACAAAGAATTATTCAGCCCAAAATGTCTATAGTGCTGAGACTGAGTAACCCTGTTACTCATGAGAGCAAAGCAGTGGGTGTGGGATTCATTCATTCATTCAACAAATACTTACTAAGGACTCTCTGTGTTCCAGGCACTTTTCTGGGTATATAACTATAGCATATCTGCATCCCCTAACCAGAAACATCAATTTGGCTGGCTGGCCTGCTTTTGTTCCCCTCTTAGCCTAAAATTTCCACTGTTAGAGTGGTGGCAAAGCTGTTCTTGCAGTCTATAGAATGCAGACATTAAAATGTATGGAAATTATGCCCAAGGATGTTAACTGAAGCATTGTTTATAATAGTGGAAACAATCTAAATTAACATATTTATGTGTGTGTTTTATTGGCGAGTGCAATATCCTATGTATGTCCACTAAGTCAAGTTTGCTAATCATGTTCAAATATTCTATATCCTCACTGATTTATCTGCTTGTCTCTTTTTGTGATTTTGTCAATTTTAGCTTTATATTTTGAAAGCTATATTATAAGGTGTGTACAAGTTTTCTAATCATTGTATCTTTCATGAGAATTGACCTTTTAATCATTATGATATATCCTTCTTTATCTTTAATATTTTGCCTTAAAGTCTACTTTGTCTCGTAATAATGTAGATACTATTAATATTAATATAATTTTGGGTACTGTTTTCATAGTTTATTTTTCCACACTTTTACTTTCAACATTTTTTAATACTAAAGATTTAGATATGTTTCTTATAAACAGTATATAGATTTTTTTTTTTATCCAATCCAATAATCTCTGTCTTTGAATTGAATGGATTTAAATCTACCATTCAATTAAGTGCTTTCTTTTGTCCAAAATACTCTGTTCTTTTTCTCCAGCTTTCTTCCTGCTTTTGGAGTGGTTAAATATTCTATTTTTCCCTCTATTACCTTGGAAGTTGTATACTTTCTTACTATTCTTTTAGAAGTTACCCTAGAGATCACACTATGTATCTTTGACTTATCAAAGTCTAATGTTAAATAGTACTTTTATCTTCTTCCATGATAATACAAGGACATTAGAACATTTTAATTCCATTTACACCCCTCTGACTTACATGCACTTGTTACATATTTTAATTCTATACTTATATTTTAAACCCCAGAAGACGTTGTTTTTGTTTTGTGCAGTCCAGTTCATTTAGATTGCTCCTCAGATTAACCTTTACATTGCTTTTCATTCCTTCCTGCATCTATAACCTAACGTCTTGATTCATTTTCCTTCACCTTGAAGAATACCCTTTAGCATTTCCTACTGATAAAGAATTCTGAAAATATCTTAATTTCACCTTAATTGTTGAAGGCTGTTTTCACTGGTCGTAGAATTCTAGGTCAGCAGTTACTTTTTCTCAGTGCTTTGTTGTTGTTAGCTGCCGTTGAGCTGGCTCCGATGCATAGCAACCTTATGCATAACAGAATGAAACATTGCCTGGTCTTGCACATCTTCATGATCTTCCATAGTGTTTCATCCCATTGTTGTAGCTATTGTGTCAATCCACATCATGGATAGTTTCCCTCATTTTTCTGATCAAACATGATGTCCTTTTCTAGGGATTAGTCTTTCCTGATGACATGTCCAAAATAACTAGGCATTTTGCCATCCTCGTTTCTAAGGAGCATTCCAGTTTTATTTCTTCGAAGACCTATTTGTTCATTCTGGCAGTCCGTGGTATATTCAATATTCTTCACCAATACCACAATTCAAATACATCAATTCTTCTGTCTTCCCTTTTCGCTGTTACACTTGTGCATGTATATGAGGCAACTGAAAAGACCATGGCTTGGTTCAGGTGCACCTGAGTCGTCAAAGTGACGTCTTCACTTTTTAGAACTTTAAGAAAATCTTTTGTAGCAGATTTGCCAAATGAAATGCATCATTTGATTTCCTCACTGCTGCTTCCAGGAGCATTGATTGTTGATCCAAGTAGAATGAAACTGCTGACCACTTCAATTTTTTTTTTTTTTCCATTTCTCGCGATGTTGCTTATTGGTTTGGTTGTTGGACTTTCCTCCCTGAACATCTGTCTTTTCCCAGATTTTGATTTGGTGATTCTTCACTATCTTATTAACTCTTTGTTGCCTTCAAGCTGATTTTGTCTTTATTTTCTAGTTGTCCTCAGCAGGAGAGTAGGTCAAAATTATCTAGTCCTCCACTACCAGATGGTAC